AGAAGGATCTGGATGGCGTCCGGCTTCTGCCGAACACGCCAGCCCTCGATGTCGTACAAGACCGAGAACCATGACGGCACAACACAAGGAACATCTGCTGCAGGAAAGGCATAAGTATTCAATGCTGAAGAGTTTTTGGTCTCCGGGGTGGTCCCTAGAAACCCTACAAATGAAGAATTGAGAAGCCCTACTCCTTCAGGGGTGTAGGTCTTTATTCCCATGTCTCACCCTTCTTTTGAGACTCGGCGGGGTTCATAAGTACATTTAAACTACTAAGGACATGAATAACGATAACCCCACTTCGGGCATACTCTAAACGCTAAACCCCTTTTAGCCTCTCGATCCTTCACTTCAAGTATACTGTGCTTAAAGGCTCATGGGGCTTAGGAAGTACCTGGGGATCCAAAAACATACCGTTTGTATGGGTTCTACCCTCTGATTAAGGGGTCATAGCCTACTATTTTGTAGGACAGGTAAGGTTATAAGTACAAGGTCATAGTTATAGACAAACCTACTGAGTGCACTGAGAACCCCTATTATAAGCCGTCCCCTGAGCCCTTAAGTAGACCAGAAAAAAACACTCGCAAACCCTAATATATGGGCCTTAATAATTCCCTATGCTATTTTGGGGGTTCCTTATCATAATTATAGTACAATATACCCCACAACCCCATTCCTATTATTAAGGCCCCTACTTAAAGCCCGGAAGCTAACAACCCCTTGTCACTAAAGCCCGTGATTCCCCTAAACCCGAAACCCCAAACCCTAAACCCGAACCCGGAGGGCCGGACAACTCGATTCAGACCTCTACGGGACCCTGTCTATAGGACCGCATGAAATCCTGATGAAAGCCTATAAGAACCGAAAGTGCTCCTACATTTACGTCGAATAAAACCTCTGACAAAACCGTTACATAACCTACAAGACACTGTAGAATCTTTATCAAAACTCCGTTAAAGCCTGCGCGAAACCCTGAATAAACCCTACCAATAAAGCAGTACTGTACATTTCAAAACCCCTAAACCCTAAACCCTAAACCCTTTCAAAACCTTGTAAAATCTCATAAAAAGCCTGCAGCCGTTCAGAGATAGGTCGAAGTCCAGCGCGGCGCGGCCGCCCAGCGAGGCGGCCATTCCCAGAACTGTTTGGTTCATGGATCTGTCCTTCAGTTAAAGGAAATTACAGGTGGGGAGTTTAGGGTTTTAGGGTTTAGGAAACTACAGGTGGGGAGTTTAGGGTATATAGGGCTTCTAAAAGGCTTCCATAAGGTATATAGACCTTCTAGAAGGCTCCTATAATTAGGGTAACTACCCACCTGAAAATGTCCTAGATTCAGGGTTCCCCCTAAACCCTAAACCCTAAACCCTAAACCTAAACCCTAAACCCGTCCAAAGGGATCAAAGCTGGATCGTAACCCCAAAACCCTACAAACCCTAAACCTTAAAACCTAAAGCTCTACAGACCCTAAACCCGAAAACCCGATAGACCCTAAACCTTAAAAACCCTAGAGATCCTAAACCCCTATAGACCCTAAACCCTACAACCCTATAGATCCTAAACCCTAAAACCTTATAGACCCTAAACCTAAAACCCTATAGACCCTAAACCCTAAAACCCTATAAACCCTAAACCCTGTAACCCTATACCTTACCTACAACCCTAAAGCCCGAACGAACCTAAACCTTAAAACCCTATGCGCCTTGACCCGAACCCTAAAACTCTTTAGACCCTAAACTCTAAAACCCTATAGACCCCAAACCCCTATAAACCCTATAGACCCTAAACCCAAAACCCCTATAGATCCTAAACCCTGAACCCCTAAACCCTATAGACCCTAACCCTAAACGCCTAAACCCGAAAACCCTTCATATTCAACTCTGCAGAGGCCTCCGGCGCAGGGACCGTCGCACCCGAGGATGAGCCAGGGACGCAGGGCTCGAGGGTGCCACCGGTTTAGGGTTTAGGGTTTAGGGTTCAGGGTTTAGGGTTTAGGGTTTAGGGTTCAGAGCTTATGGTTTAGCGTTTAGGGTTTAGGGTTTAGGGTTCAGAGCTTATGGTTTAGGGTTTAGGGTTTAGGGTTTAGGGTTCAGAGCTTATGGTTCAGGGTTTAGGGTTCAGGGTTTAGGGTTTAGGGTTCAAGGCCACACTAAGCCACCACGGGAGGCTCAGTGTGGTCGTATCAACAGTGTTTCTTATTGGGCTTAGGGGTTGGGTTTTACCTGGGGATGCAAAAACCTGCCGTTTTATGGGTTCTACCCTCTAATTAAGGGGTCATAACCTACTATTTAGGGTTTTAGGGCTTGGCGTTTTATCGAGGAAGTGTCAAGTACAGGTATGGGGGGACATCCTAAACCCTAAACTGTGAGGCTCCGACATACCAAAGATGCTTTAAACCCGAAGTGCGAATCCGCAATAACTTCGGTCAGCATCTTCGAGCTTCAATTCAATAGGCAAGCTAGGTTTTGGGGCTTCGGGCTTAGAGTAGGGTTTAGGGCCTAAGGTGGGGTTCAGGGCCTAGGCTGTATGTAGGCTTGTATGTAGTGTGGAAAGAACGCTATGTCCCAGCGGTATGCAAATCTCGTAGCCTGCATTTGGTTTGAGGTTGTAAACTAGTATTTTTCCTATGGGGATCAGTATTTTGTAGCTATACTAGAACATGTCCCAGAATCGTATTGTAATCATCTATAGGCCCCTAGACCATCCCAAACCGTAAATTCCTCAAAGAACCTCTAAAGAAGCCTGAGGTAGGAATTCCTTCGAAGGAATCCCATTCCAATTATGAAGGTCCCGATATCAAGCCCCGCACCTCAGCCTAAACTGGGGTTCTGTGTCTGGGTTTACCGTGTAAGGTCCGAGAATTTTCGGGTTTAGGGGTCAGGGTTTAGGGTATCCTACTAGGTTTGTTTCATAAAAGCACTTTAGGTCTGAACCCTAAACCTAAACCCCTAAACCCCTAAACCCCTAAACCCCTAAACCCCTAAACCCTAAACCCTAAACCCTAAACCCTAAACCCTAAACCCCTAAACCCTAAACCCTTGAATTCTCAGAGGGTTGGCCGAGACGGTCGCAGGAGGAGCGCCTTTGGCTCAAACCGCTCCGCGCGGAGCAGTGGAGGCCTCCTCAGATGTGGGTTTAGGAGTTTAGGGTTTTAAGGTTTTAGGTTTCAAAGTTTTAGGTTTTAGGGTTTAGGGTTTTAGGTTTTAAAGTTTTAGGGTTTTTCGGGTTTTAGGGCTTTAGGGTTTCTAGAATTTTGAGGGTTTAGAGATTTGGGGCTTTTAGGGTTTTAGGGTGTTTAGGGTTTAGAGATTTAGGGTTTTAGGGTTTTAGGGTTTTTACGGTTTAGAGATTTAGGGCTTTTAGGGCTTTAGGGATTTTAGGGCTTTTAGGCTTTAGGGTTGTTTGCTAGGGTTTAGAGATTTAGGATTTTAGGATGCTTTCGGGTTCAGGGGTTTAGGATTTATACGGCTTAGGGATGTGAGTCGGGCGTTTGATATAGGCTTTCCATAAGGGCTCCTTCAGGCTTCTGGGTTACACATCCTTGCGTTTCCTGCGTTTTTCGCAGATTGTCTAGGACGTTTTCAGGTGGGTAGCTACCTTTATAGGAGCCTTATAGAAGGTCCATATACCTTATGGAAGCCTTATAGAAGCCCTACATACCCTAAACTCCCCACCTGTAGTCTCCTTTAAGACTGTCGGAGCTCGAGTCCTAAGATTTTCGGTGGGTGGGTTGTTTATGGCATCAAGGTTTCGGTTTCATTACGGGAAGCTTAGGATACTAAGCCCTAAACCCTAAACCCTAAACTTTAAACCCTAAACCCTAAACCCTAACCCTAAACCCTAAACCCTAAAACTTAGGATACTGTAAGTTACTGTAGACCTTAAACTATACCGCCAGCCCATGTCCGGCAGAACCTCGTCTCTCCAGCAAAACCGACCTGTGATAACCCTAAGAGGGTTTAGGGTTTAAAGGCCCTAGCTCCCTAATCCCCTAAACACTAACCCCAAAGCCATCACACTCAAACAAGAAGCCCAAAGCCCTAAAATCCTAGAGCTCTACAACCCAAAACGATCCCGAAGGCAGGCAGCACCTGGCCTCAGACGTTTGACGGGTTTGGCTGCAGGGACAGGCCTCCGTAAATCGTAGAGTAGCACACCCTACCAAACCCGAAACCCCAAACCCTAAACTCTACCTTAAACCCCAAACGTCGGCCAGAAATAGCACAGCTATAAACAGCTACTATTCTGCATACTTTGGGGGGGGGGGACTAGGTAGAGCCTCTTAAAACTCTGAGCCGTAGAAGCCCTACCCCCTTGATAACACCCTTTCCTTAAGGACGAAAAGAACCCTGACAGGGTTTAGGGTCCATATACCATATAGGGATTCCTTGTATAAGGGTATAGGTCCGCTTTTTGTTCGGGTCGTTTGGTCCTTAAGGCTGTCCTACATCCCAAGACAAGTTTGGGACTCTAAACCCTAAACCCTAAACCGTGTCAGGCTGGAGGAACCCGCATTTAGCAAGTCGAGGACTCCAAGTGTTTAGCATGTTTGTCTATTGCAGGGGATGCGTTTAAAGGGTTTCTAGAGTGTTCTGGGCTTAGCCAGAGGATTTGCAGGGGTGTAGAGTCAGTGTTCTTGACAGTCTTAGCTTGGATTGAAAGCGGCCACACTGCTGCGCAGCGTGTTTGGATACCTTGAACCCCACACCCCAAAACCTTCAACCGTAAACCCTTGTCCCAGTATGTTCGTGACAGCACAGAGTCATTGCAACAGCACCGTCTCCATGGCGATCCACTGCCCAGAAGGCCCACAAAACCCCTCCTGAAGCCTTAAGGAGTCACATGATACGCGGTTTGGATCCGTATAAACCCCTAAAAGCAAGCAGGCCAACATGCAAATGTAAGGAGCCATATTTTGAACCCTGAACCCTAAAACGTTAATTAAGGCATTGTTTTCGAGTTTAGGGCTGCAGGGTTTTAGCAAGATATCAGGTTTTCGGGCTGTCGGGTCATACGCTTGATGATATAAATCCTGCATTACCCTTAAGGAAATGCAGGATTTATATCATCAACAGTAGGTCTTTGTAAGGGTAGTTCTCGAACTTAGTGTCCCTTTCTTGGGGTCCCAAAATAGTACGGCGCACCTATAAAAAGGACCTCAAACAGGGCTTAGGGTTTAGGGTTTCAACAAGGGATCCTCATTTAGAGAACTACCTTAATTGGGTATCAGGATGACAGAAACATGCTTAACCTGCGAGAATCCCCTAAAGCCCGAACTTTGCGTCCCCGAAAATGTCTCCCCGAACCCTACAGCGAGACACCCTTTAAGCCCGTAAAGCCTAAAACTAGGGTTTAGGGTTTAGGGTCGCAAGGAGCCAGCCACTGCAGTCCCGACACCTGCCGCGGAGGCAGGATGTGCCCATCGGTTGGAATTGGGAGTGCATAGCAGTTCTTGTGAGGACCTTAACAACTGATTCTACTATTCCCCCATATGTTTAGTATACCTCAAGACCCCATTCCAGCTGTTTAGGATCCCACCTACAGTAGGGTTGAAAAGAAGAACCTACAGAAAAAAAGGTTCTGGCAGTGTAAGGTCCCAACAGAAGCGGCTTTGGAGGTTGCCGGCAAGATAGTTCCGTCGAAGGGATAAATCATGGTCATTGGTGAAACAGGACAAAATCGAGATGGTTCCGTTCGCCATGGGCTCCTTCGGGAGCGTTCCCGCCGCTGTTGCTAGGAACCGACAAGGTGGTGCTTCGGTCCCTCAAATACATGGCTGACCGAATGCGCCCACAGCTGCCTGTCTTTCAATCGATCAAACAATACACGTCGAATTCAGTCCTTATTGAGCTTCGTGCTTGAGTCTTTGTGCCTCAAACCTTAAATGCCCTTATACTATGTACCCCTACTGGTATATGAACCCTAAACCCTAAACCCTAAAACCCGAACCCCTAAACCCTAAAACCCCAAACACTCAACCTTGCACCCATTTAAAGGTTCTTTTCGTCCACACCAGTCTGAAACCCTAAACTCCGAATCCCTGTGGGGTTTTAGGGTTTTAGGGTCTAGGGGGTTTTAGGGCTTTAGGGCTTTAGGGCTTTAGGGCGTTAGGGCGTTAGGGTCTAGGGTTTTGGGGTGCTAGGGCTTCAGGGTTTTAGGGGGTTTTAGGGTTTTAAGGTTTAGGCTTTAAGGTACGGAAGCTGCCACCTCCCCAAACCCTACTGGGAGGCTATGACCCCTTAATGGAAGGGTGCGACAATCAACATAGTAGGCCAGAGCCTCGTAAAGCTTAGGGCTGTTTGGTCTTTTTTACTGTATTCTAGGGTGGGGAAAGAAGGCAAATCCTAAACCCTAGACCCCTAAACCCCTAAACCTTAAACCCCTAAACCCTACACCGTTAGAGACAAAAACATAGTTTGAAGCCAGGCCTCCACGCCCGGAGATGGACATGGTGGAGCCGCCTCCTCAGAAGGGATCACGAATGTTTTTGCGGTGGGCTTAGGCTACACGGTTTCGGATTTAGGGTTTTGGGGTTCAGGGTTTGAGGGGTTTCGGACATAGGGTTTAGGGGTTATAGGCTTTAGGGTTTAGGCCTTGCCATGGGCTGATAAACCTTGGTAAACTTTGGGCAGTTCGCCCGAAGCCATAAACCGCAGACCCTAAACTCCCTAAGCTCTGCTAGTCGCGATTTACTGCCATTGTTCAGAGAGTTTGTTGCAAAGGTAAACTATAGATCTAAGGCCCCGATACGCAGTGACTAGGAATTAGGTAAACCCTAAACCCTAAGCCCTAAACCTTAAACCCTAAACCCTAAACCCTCCACCCTAAACCCTAAGCCCAAAGCCTTAAACCCGAAACCCGAAGCCTGGTGATAATAAGCAGCCACTGGTCGTCCATCGTGCATGCATGGCACACAGGCACACAGACACATGCACCCCCAGGCCGCCCAGATCTGATTTTATAATAAACTGTCTTTAGATTCTTTAGGGGTTAGGGCTTGGGGTTTAGGGTTTGAAATTTAACATAAGCTATCCCAAAACCCCAACACATCCAAAAATAATCAAACACAATCGAATAATTTTCGATTTTGGCTCAGGAGCGGTGGTGCCGCCAGCAGCACGTGCGCACCAGGCCGCTCTAAAGCAGGGCCCTTGATAATTAGAATATGATTTTGGGGTATATTATACTATAACCTTAATAAGGAACCCCCCAAGAAAATAGTGTAGGAACCCTAAACCCAAAACATCCCAAAACCCTAAACCCCAAACCCTAAGGAACACCAAAAAAAGTGCAGGTAATTGTTAAGTCCCCTACATAAACCCCGCAAAAAAGTGTAGGTAATTGTGAAGGCCCACTATTGCTCTGGGGCTTGGGGTGGTTCGGACCCCGAAGTCTGAAGCTCCCTTGTGAGTGCGGTTGCTGTAGACCCAAATGGCTGTACAAACTATAACCCTAAACCCTAAACGCTAGACCATATAGTGGGGTTTAGGGTTGCGCATATGATAGAGAGGGTTTAGGGCTTTAGGGTTTTAGGGTTTAGGGTTTCAGGGCTTCAGGGTTGTAGGATTTAGGGTTTAGGGTTTCGGGTCTAGGGTTTATGGTATGTAGCTTTTAGAAATTAAATTATAATACATGTGCAGTATATGTAGTAGATATGGCAGGTTTAATTGTGACCCTTTCATCGTTTGGGTAATCGGATCCACAGCTCGGTCGTGTGCTATGTGTGTTGTGCGTTGTACATATCGGTTCGAGGCTAGAGAGCTTCGGTTTCGACTTCAATTTGGGCTCAGGGTTTATGGATTGGCTAGCCGTACATGGTTCTGTAAGGTGCTGGTACACTCAGTCTGACCGTTGCCCCATACGCCAAAGCTGAACTGCAAACCCAAACCCTAAACTCTACACCCCAAGCCTAAACACATTGCGGCTTCATGAAACCAGCCACCCTTCGTAGCCGCAGAAGCCACTCGAAGATTCAGGGCAGCCGTAAATTATCAGGGATCCTCAACATCGTTTCTGGTAGATTCTTTACTTCAGGGGTTTGGAGTCTCTTGGGTGCATTGAACGGAGAGAACTTATGTCGTTTCTGTTAGGGCACCTTCAAGCTGAACATCTGAGCTTACTTTCCTATAGTAGGTTAAGGTAGGTACACGCTCTTAGTGGGCTTATGCTCAGCATTGCAAGTAGACTTACGAAAAAGGTTCTAATACGAACTCCAAGCTTGAACAACTTGTTCGAAGCATGAGGACTATTGCATGACACCAACCTGACCAACCTTCAGCCAGCTTGAATACCACCGTCACCATTGTCGACACCAAATTCTAAACCCTAAACCCTAAGAGCCCTTATACTAGTAGGAACTTTCACAGGGACCCTTGACGGAGCCCTCCAAAGATCCCATCTACCCCTACCTACCCAAAATCCTAAAGCAAAACAACTCTAACTCTAATGTAAGGGCCAAAATGATAACCACTACTATTTTGGGGGTTCCTTATATATGATTATAGTATAATATACACCAGAACCCTATTCTAATTACTAGGCCCACTATTTTACTATTTTGAACCCCTTCCGACCAAGGAGGCGGCTCTTGTGGGAGAAAAAGCTAGATACTAATACTAATACTAATATTGATACCAATACGAATACTCATACTAAAACAAACACTAATACTAGTATTAATACTAATGCTGATATTAATACTAACATTATTTCAGTATTATTACTAGTATTAATAATAAGATTAATACGAATACTATTACTAGTATTAATATTAAAATTCATACTAATACTAATACGAATACTAATACGAATACTGATACTAATATTAATACCAATATTAATGCTAGCATTATTAGTAACACGAATACTAATGCTAATATTGCTACTAATACTGGTATTAATACTACTGTCAGTAATACTAGCATACTACTACTACTACTACTACTACTACTACTACTAATACTAATACTGATACTGATATCAATACTTTTATTATTATTAATATTTATAATGATACTAGTAGTAATACTCATACTAATTCTAGTACTAATACTAATATTAATACTAATACTAATACTAATACTAATACTAATACTAATACTAATACTAATACTAATACTAATACAAATACTAATACTAATACTAATACTAATACTAATACTAATACTAATACTAATAC